GGTTGAAGGCCACGCGCGCCCGGGGCAGCCCCGCCCCCTTCCCCCCGCGCGGGGCGCCGGGGCTGGCGATGCTGGGGTGAGGTTCAGCTCAGGAAACCTTGTGCTAGATCCACCCATCGATCCATCTGTCTATCAGTCAATCTTATCCATCGATCTATTTATCCATCCATCAATTAATCGATCTGTCTGTCCATCCATCTATCGAGTGATCTATCAATCGATCTATCCGTCTATCGATTAATCTATCCATCTATCATCCATCAATTGATTTATCCATCTATCCATCCATCCATTCATTGATCAATCGATCTATCCATCTATCAATCGATCTATCCATCCATCCATTGATCAGTTGATCTATCCATCCATCAATCAGTCTATCTATCATCCATCTATCCATCAGTCGATCTATCTATCTATCTATCTATCGATCAGTCGATCTATCCCTCCATCCATCCACCAGTCCATTCATCTATCCATCCATCCGTCTATCTATCTATCTATCTATCTATCCATCTGTCGATCAATCTATCCATGCATCTATCCATCCATCCATCTATCCATCCATCCATCTATCTATCCAGCTGTCTTTCTATCCATCCATCCATCTATACCTCACAAATCTTCTTCCTTTCAAGGTTTGCTTTAGTTGAGGGTCACAAAGGGCCATACCAGGTGAGTATGGAGGCTGCAGCATTTGTGGGATATGGTGCAATTTTTTTCTCTTCCCTCAACTAAAGAAAACCTGGAAAGGAGGAAGATTTTGTGATGTGGAAACCGTAACACGAAATGCGACTGAGCAGCTGTTAGCGAATCCACCAACTGCTCATCGGAGGTGCTTCCAACAACGGCAGAAGCGTTGGGAGCAGTGTGCGGCTGCAGACAGAGTGTACTTCGATGGAGATTAAGCCGAAACCCCTGTAAATAAAATATTTTTTTTTCCTACAGCATCGGTCTTGATACTTTTTGAACAGCCCTCGTATATCATCTCCTGAGTGCACGCTCAGTCCTTGCTTGGCCTGTAAACCTGCCCTTCCTTCTCTTTTTATGACCAGGCTGGAGTATGTTAGGCTGTGAGGAGAAAACAGTAAGCTTGCCCGGGCTATTTCACAAATCCTAGAGAAGTGGAAGGCACCTCCGGAGGTCATGCGCTCAACCCCGGCGGGGCCTGCGGCAGGATCGTCCTTATCCAAACCATCCGACAGAATCCGTATTTCAGGAGGAACGGACTTGGTTCAGGGGCTGGGGAACAGACGGCTGAGGGAACTGGGCTTATTTAGTCTGGAGGGGTTTAATAACAGCCTTCGACTCTCTGAAGCGGGTTTGAAAGAGGGTGGAGCTGGACTGTTCTCAGTGGGGGCAGATGACAGAGCAAGGAGCAACAGTCTCAAGTTGCAGCAAGGGAAGTTTAAGTTGGATATTAGGAAAACCTCTCTCATGAGGACAGTGAGCTTGGACTGGAACAGGTCAATTAGAGAGGTGGTGGAGTCTCCACTCTCGGAGGTTTTTAACGCCTGGATAGATAAAAACCCTGGCTGGGATGATATAATTGGGGATGGTCCTACTTTGAGCAGGGGGCTGGACTAGATGACCTCCTGAGGTCCTTGCCAACCCTAATGATTTTCCATGATTCTTCCTGAAATAGGAAATGGCTTCATCCTCCATAACTGGGCGGGGGTTGGGAGGTGCAGACAACCAGTTTGATTGTGATTTGAGCATCTTATCTCACAGCAAACCCCCAACCTGACAGACAAGTGCACTGTCCCATGTGAAATGTCTGGGAAGTATCCGAAGGAACACATTGCTGCCGAACAATCTGAACAATCTCAGCTAATCTGTATTAATTGCCGTTGAAGGCCTGTGTGGAAATGACCGCCCTGTGCCTTTTCTGATGCAATTGCAGCCTCCAATTAAACTGGTCATCGGGTTTTAGCCTCAGTGATGCTGCTGTACAGTCTGGTCCCTTGTTATGACTTAACCCACCGGGGTGGGAGAATCCCAGAGGAGCGTCACATCACTTGAATGTGCACCGAATGTGAGAACAAGCGGTAAATTCCAGCAGCGTTTCAGCATCAGGGAATTTGGTCCTCGCCCACCAAGGCACAAATCAGTAACTTGCAAGCCTAGTGCCTGGATGAATCCCAGTCCATCTAATCAGATGAAGATTACTCTCAAGGGCAAAACTGTAGATTTTTTCCCCCTTTAAAGCCCATCATAGCCATCCAGTTAACCCCCCTTTGCTGTTTTTGGCGCTCGCAAATCCTCGTGCTGCAAGCATTTTATGGTATGGGGGATGGAAATATTTCATATCTTAGACTATGTTCCCGCTGAAATAGTCCAGGCAAGCTAATTATTTTCTCCTCGCAGCTTCCAGTTTTCACTGGTACCAAGAAATAGAGCATAGCTGATTGCATGATAAAATATAAACAACACATTTCCAACAAATCTGTTACATACACGAATCATTGAAAATTATGCTATCCTTGCCAGGAGCCTTGAAACCTATACTATAAATTGCCAACATAATTTCCAAACCTTTATGGAGTGCAACGTGTATTTTTAATACTGAAATGACTGTATGTATATCTCACCACCATTTCCTCCTAGATACATTCAAACAACAGAAATAGTAGCCTGACATTTTCTAAAACAGAAACAAAGGACATCGGGAACACACAAGTATTAACTTTCCATCCTGTTTCTGAGTGGGGTAACATTCATATTTCTTGCTTTGTAACGCTACGATTTAACAGCAATAATAAAAATTGGTTCCTTTTACTATTTCGCTTCAAGTTTTATACCCAGCTGTTGTTTGTTTTTGTTTTCTTTTGAAACAAGCTTAGGTCTTGAGAGGCCCAAATAATTGCCAACCTCATCTGTCCTTCAGGCTGATTTGAACATTACATTGTATGGTTCCCCCTCCTCCTTCACTTGAGGTTCTCATAGTACCTGCTGGACTCCAAGAGCCCTCTCTGTGTGCATATTCCTAAAAACTAACCAAGAAAGAACATTTCTTGGGTGCATGTATCCACTTCAAGGATTTTAACCATGATACTTGTATAAGCGCTACACTGCTGCAGATTTTTTTTTGTGCACAGCAGCACACATACAGACGCTGACCCAGCCGGGGCACAAGGGTATTTCAGTGCAAGTACTGCCTACCGACTGGACAGCCCCACATTTTAGCAACTTCGTGCCCCAGCCAGCCCCTCCGCAGCACACTGAACCCAGGTCAGAGGATCCCTGGGCTGGCAGGCTGACCCCCCCGGGGCCCTGCCAGCTGGGGCTGCTGTGACCCAGCTCAATGTGCTGTGGTCCAGGAACAGGCATTAACAGCGCGCCCAGGAGCTTCCCAGGAGCAATAAACTGTGGAGCAATAAGCTCTGCAGTTTATTGCTGTGCACTAATGACATGTGTAGATATGCCCTGCATGTAAGGAACCACATTGTACTATAATCCTAAAAATCTTAAAATAAAACTAAATAAAAATAATCCCGCACTGCTTATGTAAGTATATAAAACACAAGCATGAACTTTGTGCATACCCATAAATGAATGTCCTCAGCAGAGCTTGCATGTTTTCTTTGCCAGAGAACTCTGAAATGGCTTTTCCTGAACACATTACTTGGCCTTCATATGGTCATGTGGCTTCTGCTTATTCATATGGTTTGGCTTTCCTGTACCACGATGTAGGGCTCAGTTTTACCATCCGTACGGCTTACAGTTCAAGTCATGAGATGATGAAGAGAGAGGGTGGGGAGGAAATTTAGAAAAAGGAAGCCAGGAGCAGAATTCTGTGGGTTCCACCCTAAAAATAGGAATGGGGAAGGAATGAAATACTGGACTAGAAATGAAAGAGGTAGAAGGGAAATCAGGACAGAATGGTATCATAAAAGAAGGGCCAGGAACAGTAAGACCACAAACAAGGGTAACAATATTGAAGGCAGCCAGCAGGGCAAAGAGGGTGAGGAGGGAGTCTTTGACCAGAAAGAGACACGGTAAATGGCACTTTCAGTCAAAGGAGGAGGGTCAGGTACGTTGGAGAGTAAGTAGAATCAAGCATCAGGTGTTTTTAAGATGGAAGGGATAGATTGGCTTCATCGTGTTACATCATCAGACACATCAGCAAAAAATTAGAAATCACTGAAAATCTTATATCAAGTTTTCTTTACGTTTTTAAGTAGAAAAAATACTGGAGAAAGAAATCTATTTCCATAAGGACAGAAAGGGAAGATTCTCATCACAACTGTTCCTTACTTCTTAAAAGTATTTAGAGTTTCTGAAAATATTAAATGTACTGAAGACCCTGCAGAGGTCATTTAGGGTTTTTTGAAACACTCCTTTACCTTGTAAGTTGTGGATCAAAAAATAACCATATTGGCAGATAGCAAACTGGTTAATTCACCTAGCGGAACATTTCCTACTATGGCTTAATTTGCCGTTGTCTTAATTTCCTGGCAGTCTCTTTTCCTGCCCCCCCTCCTCCCCCCCAATTATCAACTGCTGATAACTATCAAATAATTCTCCATTATTTGCATTCCCCTTGAAGTGGTTAATTAACCAGCATTTATTGTAAGTATTTTAGGGTCTTTTCTAACTCTATCTGGAGTTCAGTAGAAACAAGGCCCAAGCCTTAGTACTAATTCTAATATAAATTGAATGTCACTCTTTTGAATATAAAATGCCACTCCTTTATTTAAATTAATACAAATGTTTAACTATCTCAGATGATTCTAAGTATATTTCAGTTTTATTCCCATTTATCTTTCCTATTGTGAACAGTACAGTAACCTAACAAAGAGGAAGGGTATCTATGCATGCAGTCTGTCCCACCTGGTGAGGAGGGAACTAGAGCAATGTTATCTGCATAAAGGCCAAGGAAAAGGA